AGCTGCGGGTTCGACAGCGAAGGGTATACCCCGAACGGCCTGGTAGGGGTGTCCCCCAAGAGGCCCATCGCGCGGCGAAGGAAGAGACGCAGACGCGGCAAAGGACGAGTCGCAGCGCATACTGTAGCGGTTAGGCGTCAGGTTAAATAGAGTGTACCATACTACGTCTCATAGGTTACGGGGCAGCGGTCAACCAACGCGTGAGAGTCCAGACAGAAAAGCACATACTTTCTGCTTCTAGGACTAAGCCTTTTGAAGGAAGGAAAGAAAGCAGAGATGCTGTAATAGTGTGCATATGCGAGAGTGCCCAGAGAACACTACAAAACGCTGAATCACCAAGCCTTTCGGTTGACCGCTGCCCTTGACGGTCTCATATCGGACAGCGCGCGCTGCGATTCGTCCTTTGCGCGACTCTTCCTTCGCCGCGCGATGGGCCTCTTAGGGCACATAAAAGTAACGCCACTGAACGCGCTCGGCCCCGTCCGATTTCTCGGGTTCTAGGCCGTTTTCCGGTTTTTCTTCATCCCTGCATCACTGGCCACAGCTCTACCATGATTTCTAGTGGCTATCTTTTCATCGTAAACTCTGCCTTGGAATCATACAATACTGCTTCCATCCTTGACGTTCTTCTACACAACTCTTGTGCTACTCCAGTTCTTGCGACATCGAAAGCGAAACTCGAGTGCAGGCAGCACTGAGGTTCCAGAGGTTAGAGTTCTGCGGCCCGTGCAATCCTACCGATTTACGTGGTATTTTCTGGGCTATTTTGTTTTCGGGTCTGTCGCTTCTCATATGTTCTGACACATTACACCTACAGTGTAAGGGTTTTCGGTGTTTTTCCCATAAATAATATGGTCGAGTGAACAGCTCCAGATGATTCAAAATGCACATAAACTTCTTCCCTAAGCTTTTAGGAGATTTGCGGATCGGCAATTTTTCAGCCTCCATAAGAATGATATCGTGAAACAACGCTGTTCCGAAAACGGATAGAAAAACTGCTGGATCTAAGAGGAGCTCACCTGTACATTAGGATCAAAATACATGAAGAGGTTATAGAGACTGTAAGCTGAAAATCCAATAATATTCAGTAGGAGGAAATCAAAATTGAGTCCAGTGACACTGAAAAGAAATTTCTCCATTGGAACCTTTTGCGAATTTCCACAAGAAATTTTATCGAATAAATATCTTAAAAAGCTGACGACTTACATGAAAACTCACCTTTTTCTTCTGAAGTTTAAGAAAATCTGAGGATAGAACGACAAACTCCAAGCGACGAAATACATCCATCCGACAATAATGGTGAACAATTGAATGAGATGCGACTTAATAACAGAAACCCGAACGAAAGCATCGACAATACTGAAAAAAAACAGTAGCGGTCAAAAGAGTATATGCAAAAACGGCTTCTCTGCTGGATACGGCTTTTGTTGTAGTCTGTCCAAGGTTTCAGTACATTTATTAGGCTTACGTTTCGGCCTCTTCGCCTTGAGCCTGAAAAGTCGAAAAGCAATTGAGACCGATCCTGGTCAAAACAATCCTGAAGTTTTGCCTTCAGAAGACATCTTCTCGGTCTCAATTGCTTTTCGACTTTTCAGGCTCTGACGAAGGCGAGGAGGTCGAAACGTAAGCCTAATAAAAGTACTGAATCTTGGACAGGCTACAACAAAACCGTACCATCAACTTCCATGCCAAGACTAAAGTCGTTCATGGTTTCTGTGCTCTGCGTCCCCTTTCAAGGCTTGAAAGTTGACTGCAGACACCTTCAAATATCTTAAATTCTCAGGAGACTCAGAAGTCCAGAGGCATGACAGAGTAATATTTTAATATTTGTGAGATGCGAAACACTGCAGGTGCTAAACTGAGCCCTAATAAAATCCAGTTGAGCTTGGCTCGGAAGTCGAGCAATTGAGAAAAAGGAAGTGACACCGCGCGCGCGATCCATGAATCAAATAATGCCCAGGTCAATGAAGCCTTGCCGGTTGACTGATGTCACAAAGGGATTTATTTATCGCGAACAGGAAAACTCAGGTAACATTGCCCGGCCCGCAATTTTTTTTCAATCGGAGATTGCGTTCAAAGATCCCTACGATTCCGAATGATTGTGGATACGAGGCGCATTCCAGATGGTATCAGCAACTTTAGAACGACGATCTAAAACGCTCCTTTGAGCGCAGTGTGCGGCGCACGCTTCGATTCCAGCATTTCAGTACACAGTCTTCAGAACCTATTAATTACCGTAACTTTTGACTAGTACTCATGAAAACGAGGTAAGCCTCGAAATGGAGCAGCGATAATAAGCCCTACTTTCTTCTGAGCCACCTCATCCCTTTGCTCCTCTACGCCTCGTTCACAAGGCGAGTCAAGGGTCTAAATGATCAC